AAAGAAGAGCCAGGGAAATTTGTCACTTGAGCAAATCTCAAGTTTGAAAGTTAGGGTTGGAACACTTAGACACACACACATAGCTATAAAAGGGTAGCACAGGAGAGCCTTGTGGTGATGCAACAATAATTCTATATCTTGATTGTGGTGGCAGTTACATAAATCTACATACGTGATAAAATTGCAGAGAACTACAAACACACACATCTATGCCTGTAAAACAGGTGAAAAGGTCTGTGGATTGTACAAATGTTAATTGCCTTGTTTTGCTAATGTACTATAGTTACACAAGATGTTACCACTGGGAGAGGCTGCATGAAGGATTGGAGGGACCTCCCTATACATTGTTTTGCAACTTCTTATGAATTTATAATTACTTCAAAAATAAAAGTCATAAAAAAAGCAAAGGAATCATACATGTACACACACACGCATACACACACATAGTCTCACCCTAAGTTCCAGGGCTTCTCAAATTTTTCTACCCAAGTACTCCTAATCTAGGAGAGTAAATAGAGACATTAGGGTAGGGGATAGGGTACCCATGAGCAGAGCTGAAATAGAGATTGTTTTATCTTAACAAACATGGAAATTTTGCATTCCTTTTTAAATGATTATTTACATTTAATTTCTGAAAAAAAAAATTCTTCCTCTAGCACACTGATCTTACCCCAGAGTTTGAGAAGAATATACATAAAAATTCTCACACATATAGGATATACTTAGCCCTGTTATTGAACTTTCCCCAAACCAAAAGATGTATAGTCATATATGTATATACACACTGTTATCTCTGACTTTATTATTTTCCTAACTTTATTTTCCCTGGAATAATTCTCATTGTGTGTGCCATTTCAAATTGTTTGTGGACCAAAGTAGGTGTAAAAATAAATTTTAAAAGTACAAACATATATCCTAGTCTTGTCCCCCTCAACTCACCAACATAGTGGATGAGTTGTGAGCTGAGATGGTATCTGTTTTAGTTGGTGGAAGTCAGAGTGGAATTGGGAATTGAGAGTTGGTTAGTTTTGTTTTAGTTTGTGTGTTTTTTGCTTTAGGAAAGATCTAACGTACAACCAAGTGGTAATAGAAAGGTAAGGAACTGAAAAACAACGTTACCTCTGCATCTAGAAACATAGGCTAGAGGACAAGGACAAATGAAAATATTGATTAAATCTCAAAATGAGACTGGCGCAATTTTATTCCTGGGTTTCTGTTGTTTTGATATGGAATGTACCATAACGTTTTACTGTTCTAACATAATGCTCCAGGAAAAGTTACTTTTAGAATCTATACAATAAATATGTTTTTAATCCAGTTCATCCTTTGTTAGAAATTGTAGCTTACTTGTTGGATGGCTCTAATATTTCTACTGAAATTATTAGAGAAAGATAGATTCGGTCACATGGTGTACTACCAACTAAGAAGTAACGCCAGGTTTGTTTAAAATAAACAAAAATTTTAAGTCATTGTGTAAACATCGAATGACTCCACATGCCAGAAGAGATGGAAATAGGGCTGCGCTTAAACCTCAGAGAAAGGCAGCTGGCACTGGTTCCTCTTTTCATGAAAAGGAAAATAGGGAGAGATTCCACACTTGTCATGAGTACAGTATCAAAATGAAGTAAATGTAAGAATAAAAGTCAATGGTTCTGAAATGGTTCACGACATATTACCTCATCTGTGTTGATGAGAAGCTGGGACCAGCTATTCCACTCTGGGCATTTGTCTTTGTTTTCAAAGGTGACATGCTCGGAGTTCCAGCAACAATGTTCATGGTTAAACCACAATCCCCTTGTGCATATACCTTCTTTTAAGTCAGTCATCCAATGAGCAGAGATGTCTATCAAGCCAGCTAGGGAACCTTATTTGTGAGGAGGGAAGGAAAGACCAAAATTGTCAGAGGAAACGTAGGGTAAAGAATCAATATAATAGATGGGCATCTAATTTCCCATTCCATCTGCAACCTCTTTCTGATTGTCTAATTTTCACCTATTATCTCTAATAGATTTCACCTATTATTAAATGCCTGTTCAAGAGCGAAAAAAAACAAAATGAAACACTGTCCACATTAAACACTGTGTCTGTAGAATTTCCATATAAGGGAAACTTAAGGGAGAGAAAAGTGGTTGGGTGGGAGCAAGGGGTAAATATATTTGACTGTCAGCTGATTTACACAGCAAAGATTCTGCTTTGACTTAGAGTTGATGAATATTGATCCATAAAGATAGTCAAGTTTATTAAAGATTATTTTATTCTCACTAGAAGATTGAGAAAATTAACATTGCCCATATTGAAGAATATTATATGATATTTTATTTGAGATGGCTTGGGGAGGGGAGCTGATGAAGACTATGAGAAGGGCTCAGTCCTGATCATGATTTTGTTCCATGAAGCTGTAGACATGTTGAAGCCCCCTGAGCTTAGGACATGAACATTTTGAAGTTTTCTTAGTGATAAGGTGCAAAGAATATCACACACATAACATTCATCAAAGAAATTATGAGAAAATGAATAGTGAATGGGGACTTAGGCACTATGGCTAATAGACTGATAGAGTTAAGATAATTATAGTACTTTTAATTCTGGCTCTCTCATCATTTCTGTCAGCCATACAAAGAAATTCCTGCATGAAGAAATTAAATGGTCTAGAATAGCGCTTTAGGGAAATAGGAAAGACATCATAAAATTCACAGCCCCCATCTACAGCCATGCCACCTTGAACAAGCCCGATCTCGTCTGATCTCAGAAGCTAAGCAGGGTCGGACCTGGTTAGTATTTGGATGGGAGACCAACTAAGAAGACCAGGTGCTGTAGGCGTAAAAAATAAAATAAAAAATAAGGGATTGTAAGCTGACAAGGTCCTTGCAATCTGTGAGGTCAACCAAGGGTTGCCTCGCCTAAAAAAAAAAAGCCCCA